ATTGAGGCAAACTTATCAAGTGGGGGACCAGACGAGAGGGCGGGTGTCTAAAAGGCCGAGGGGGGGAGGGGGTTCACAGCAGCCGCAAGCAGGCAGAGAAAATGCCTCCATGCAAAATGGACAAATTGGCAGGAAATGAAGAGAAGTGGGCCAGTATGCACATACATGCAATGGGCTGGTGAGGGGAGTGGGGACGCCGCTGGGGGGGGGGGCTCCTGGGGGACCTCGGGAGACGGGGACTTGGGTTGACATTGTGACATGAGGAGGGCGGCGAGGAGATTAAATGAAGTGGGTGCAGGTTAGGAATGACTCATGAACAGGGCGGCGGCGGCGGCGACGGCAGCTGGTTGGCTGATTATGTGTGTGTATAAGAGCTGGCCCCGAGCACGCCTCTGGCTGCCCTTTTCATGGTGATTTACACATTTGCATAATGGCCCTTTCTGATGGTTGAGTGTCTGAGGTTGACACACACACACACACACACAAACACACCTACAACTATACAACCAGCTCAATATTCGAATGCATTGAATGTATTTATTTTCCCCGTGTCCTGTTTGCAAATGACCTTGCCTCCGCAGACAGACAGACTGAGTTTTTCTGCAGAGATGAACATTTTGAAGTTTTTGCACCCATCCGTTGGAGTGTTGTGTGTTGTTGAGACCTGCTCGCACAAACTAAATTCCACACTCAACGCGTGCGCTTCCTGGGGACCCGATCAAAAACACCTGCCGTGACACGCTTCCTTCTCACAACCGGGCCGTGGCTACTCGAGGGGAGAACGCTGGTAAACAAAACAAAACAAAACATACTGTACTGTTTTTGAAATAGGAAATATTGAGTTATGTCACGATTCTAACTCACTGCGAGCTGAACAAACCCACAGAAACACTTGGCCTGCTCGGTATGTACTTCTTTGTAGGACTACGTTTAACCAATACTGGTTATGTTAGATTTAGAAAATGATTAAATATTAAACATATGTATGGTTTTAAACTCTGGACTCGGCCTACACTTGGACAACTGTCCAAACAACTTCCCCAGTAAGAGAAAGGGTGAGAAGTTAAGCTAAACATCACACAAAAATAAAACTCACATCGGTGTGTCACTTACTGGTTTGGACTCAACCCCGTGTGTTTATAAAGTAGATTATTGATTTAATTAGTGAACGTATTTTGGCTGGCGGTAACATAAGAGTCTCAGGCACCCACTCAAGGCTTACTCATCGCCAAAAGGTGAAACACGAGACGAGTTCCCTTGAAAAGTGAAACTCAGCCCGCTCCCTATACGCCACGCTTGGCTGTTCATTCTAAGGTTCTTGTAGTCAATGTGTCGTGCGCGTCTTTTAATTGCACCAAAGTCCACAAAGCGCTCCCTCGGGTCCTCGGCAATGCGCCAATTACGCGTGAAGCAGATGGGAGTGCGCGCAGACCCGACAGGTTCCATCCTTACGTAGCAGTTCACCGTCGACGTGCCAGACACACACCTAAACCATGACCCGTTTTTCATCATTTGGAGTGTTGGTGCGCTCGCGGTCGTGAGGGGGGTCGTCATTCGCATCATCCCCGCTGAGAGTATTCAGGATAAATACTTTTAAGAGGATTTGTGTAATTTCAGGTGAAGAGACGGTGAACCCTCTTTTTCTTTTTTCTTTTTTCTCCGTTGAAAGCCCCTTTTTGAACACACACTCTTCTTCCATCAAGTCTCCACTGCTCATCCTCCACTTTACGCCGGCGGGCACTCTAACCGGGAGTCTGAACTTATTATGCTGCTCCCTTCTCTGAGTTTTGGTGCACTCAGCCAGTGAATGAAGGAAGGAATGAGCTCATTCTACCTGCGTCAGCGCCACCGATGCTTTTGTGTAACGAGGAAGCACAGGCTCTTCTTCGCCGAGGGGGGTGTGGCGCCCCCCCCACCCCCCCGGTCCCCTGTGCGCGCGCCGGGGATCGGCCTCCCCCTCTCAACTAATCAAGCCTGACGTGATTTAAGCCTCCCCAAGTACACGAGAATAGATTCATGAAAATGTTTGACTTTCTTCCCCGTGTAAGACGCCTCCAGCTCTCCGTCCTCTCTCGCACCCAATCAAGCCAAACGCTCCATTTCTCTCTTTGTCTTTCCTCTTATCGTCTATCGCTCTCTCTCGGTCGGCCTGTCCCCACTGTATCTCCCTGCATGCTATCACACCTTTGTCCTCACATCCCAGAAATAAGGAAATAGGGATGACAAATCTTTCCTTTCAGCAGGGACGGCTGTAGGGGGGGGTCGTTGGTGGACGCTCCCCTTCTCTGCCTTCCCCCTCGCGGCGAGCATTGAGCTTAAATGCTCACCCGTGGTTTTGGGTGTGAACAGTGTGCTTGTGATGCTAAACAAACATAAACGCGACGAAATAAACGAGGTGACAGTCGGTTGGGTTTTCTGATGAACGGCCTGTGGGGCTCCAGTTGTTTTTGACATGGAGGCCAACAATAACCGAATAAGATGGAGGGACGTGATGGAGGGAAGATGGAACAATATGGTGTCTGTCTGATCCTTGAGTGGGGAGAGCTTTCATCACCTGTGGGGGGGGTTCGGATGTCTCGACGGCGGCGTATTTTTCCCACTGCTTGTCAGAATCGCTGCATTCAGTATTTTCAGTCGCTCGGGGATTTTAACGGCACCAGCGGTGATGGATGGCTACGTCTGTCCCGGAGGACGGAGGGGAGGGGTCGCCGCGGTTCACGGCGGTGATGGAGACACTTCCCCGCTCGGCCTCTGCCGACTTTTTTTAATTAACCTCTTTGGGAGGAGCAGCCTCTTCCTTCAGAGGTAATCACAGCCTGGAAAGTCTCTACATTTGGACTTATCTGACCCCCCCGCGTGTCCGCCGGTGTCCGCCGTTTCCTCCCCCTGCATCCTCCGCCTCACATTCGGTGCAGTAATGACCCTGTTGCACAGAGCGGGGGGAGGGGGGGGGGGGGAGACAGCGGCAGTGAATGTGCCCAACGCTTGGGGAGATTGGATTCTCCTTAAGCTCTCTGTTTCCGAGTTCACACACCTCGCTCCTCTCAGCGCCAGAATTCGCTTTATTTCTTTATTTCACAGCGACGCCACTTCGTCGATCCCACCAAGACACAACTGCAGTTTAACGGGAGAATCATGCAAGTCGGGCTAGATGCCGCTCGACGTTTCCTCTGCTCCACCTCAGTTGTCTCCTTGATTGAAAGATACAAATGTATCCAGTTTTTTTCGCATTAGACTTCTAAAGGGACAAACAGGCCTCGGCGCCTCCCGCGGGGAAATGGATCCCTCTGGGTTGACGCCCCAGAACAACAGGATCAAACGGCCTCTCCCGTGGCTCCCCGTCTTCATTTCATCTCTCTGTTTTGGTTGCCTTCTTTCATGTTGGGGAACACCGGCTTAAGTGGCTCCATTGGAGCTCTCTGAGGGGCTCTCAGATGAAGTAAGTCAGTTTGCTCCGAAGATGCGGTGCACGCGGCGCCCCCTGCTGTTGGCCCTCTCATCCGTGCGGCGTCCAATGGCCGAGGGAAGGAGGAAAAAAAAAGGAACGGGGGGAGAGTCAAACAAGTTGGTTTGTTGGGGGCATTTGCATTTGTCTTCCTGGGACGAGCGTTGCGTACATGCTGAGTGAGCGCTCTGCATTGAACGTATTCACGGTGGTAGGAGGACGTGCACGGAGACATGCACGGGCCCACACCTCCCCCATGTGGACGTCTTGTACAAAGCGCTTTTTGGAAAGCTTCGATGCGATGACCTCTGACACTCGGACACATTCTAGCTTATTATAACCAATGGAAATATTACTGATGTATTGGATTATTTTTTTCCTCCAATAACTATTTCATGAGTGCCAATGAAATGCCAGGCACCCTGGATTATTCATATTTCCCTTTTCTCTTTTCAGTTTAGCTTATAGGAAAGGCGCTTTAGTCACCGTGTGTGTGTGTGTGTGTGTGTGTTTGTTTCCTCGTGCTTTAATGGGGAAAATGACCCGCATTTGTCTTAAAAACACCAATCACAGTCATGAGAGTTTACAACGTTATCTTTCACAAAAATGTTACCTTTGAAACAGAGTGATTGTAATTCGTGACGTGCGTCCACGTTGTTAAAGTAAGCCACGCCCAATGGAGGCGCGGCTGGAGAGAAGATTTGAACGTTTTACTTCATTATGTTTACTTCCTCGTATTGTTTCGGCTGTGTCGTTGGTGACGTCACGGCTCTGGAACGAGCGTTCCGAGCCGGAAGCGTCCCACAGGGTAAAGGAAGGCGCGAACAAAAGCCGATTATGACCCGGAACCCGGGGCGGGGGCGAGAGGGGGGCGATCCCATTGGTCACCGGCCTGTCGGGAAATGTCCAGCAACCAATTGAAGCGCGCGCGCGCGCGCGGGGGGGATTTATCTCTGCCTTTTACCTACCTGCCCGACACGCTAACAAGCCAGAGGACAAAACCACGGGCGAAGGACGCGTCACCGATCGTCCCCCGGAGGCGCAGCGCGTCCAGCGGACTCCGGCGATGACGCGCGCGTGGCCGGTGTCCCTCTCCGCCTGTCGCTCCGTGCTGCTCGCGTCCTGCTCGGTAAGAACGGGTGACCGTGCCACGCGCGCTGTCGTTCATTTCGCACTTCTGAAAACTTCCACGAGGCGCGCAAACGTCTGATTTGTTGCAGATTGTATCGATTCCAAACAAGAGTGCGTGGTTGTGTTGCGTGAACGTCCAGCCGTCTCCAGCTGTGATGCTGTGCGGAGAAGTAGGACGGATTATGAATTGCTCACTGTACCCAGTGCCAGGGTCTATGCTCATTTATCTGTGACAGACAGCGCCAAATAATAAGAGGATGAATACTGAACCCAATCCAATCCAAACATGGCAATCCTCTCAGAGGCCAGCGGATAATTAAAATGAGATTATACGTTTGCCTCATCCAAGATTTAAAAAAAAAAGCAAAATGTCATAAATATTCATAATCAATGTTCTTTGTTGCACCCCGACCCCCTCCTGTAGCTCATGGTCCTGTCCGTGTCCATATATCCCGGGCTGTGGTCCATCGGGGTCCAGCTGTGTTCAGTCTTCACGGGGAGCTACGTGCACGGCCACCACTCCGTTGTTCTCATCAACAGCCCCAACGCACAGGCAGCCAAGGACATCGGCAGGTACAGTGGGGGCTCCAGGGTTCACCATGTCAAGTAGAAGAACTGGAAATGACCACTTCCTTCCTGTTTTGTTTGATCTGTCACACATCAGTTCAGGCGGCCGCCTCCACCCCTCTATGCTAAGCTAAGCTAACCGAAAGCTGGCTCGAGCTTCAAACCCGCCGTGCACCACGCGGGAGTGACATCGACCTCCTTGCAAAATGCAACCCCAAATTGAAAAATGAAATGAACTCTCGTAGAGAGTAGAGACTTGGAAATTAGTTAAAGTGGTTTTCAAACAATGAGGACTTTTCTATCTGGAGGAGAGATACGGTGCTGTCAAAGCCCAAAGTGGTGCGGCGCCCGCGTTCGCACTCTCATCCGCCTTTTGTTGGCATTTCTGCTGCATGTAAATGAGCTCCATTTACCACATGTCAAGACGGGAGGTGGAGGTGCACGGTGCAGGTGCCAGATATGTAAATCCCCTCCTTCAGAGACACCGGCTAGGTGAGGGGGGGCTCGAGTGAGTTGGTAATAAACTTTCATACCGGCCGCATGCAGCAGTTTGACATGAGTGCATGGAACTCCCTTCCTGTCTCTGTGTCCCTCCATCCATCTCCCTCCCATTCTGTCTTTCTCTTGCAGGGCCATCATGGAGAGGCGGCTGGCAGCCAGCGTTAACATCCTCTCCAGGACCTCGACAATGTAAATCAGACCCCCCCCACACACACACACGCACACACACTCACAGAACCTGGGACACAAAGGCTCGCACGGTTGTTATGTCCCTCACATTTGCAGCATCATCACTTGTGCATGCAGGCACGTATGTTCCTTTTTCTCTACAGCAAATAGCTGGTTACCTAGGTAACCACCAGGTGGATGCACTGCATCTCGATGCTTTCATCAGTTTCCCCGTCACCGGACACTGAGTGGCAGTTAGCCTTCATACATTTACACGAGTGGATGAGCTTTCCTGTTAATGCATAAACCACAACATAAAGCGAGAACTCAGGAGAAGTGAATAGAAAAAGAGCTTCTGTTATATCCAGGTGTATTTAGTCTTGGACTTTAACATTTATTTTGACATTTCCAATATTTCGACTGGAGCTCGTAGTTCGTCTTTCACAAGCCTTATTGTTTAAAAGCAAAGAGGCCGTTATGTGTCTGACGCTGTAAAAGCCAGTTTGACAGGATTACTCAGAATCACAGCCGCAATAATAGATGCTTAGGCGGGTTATCTCAGAAAGAACAGTCATTTCTGAAAGCCGATTTTACTTAATTGTACTTTTCAGTCCATCGTGTACTTGTGTAATACAGTCCTCATGTCTCGGAGTACTTTCTGGTCCATTAGGTACTATTGGAAAGGAGAAATCCAGGATGCCAGTGAGGTGCTGATGGTGAGCTTACCGAGCACGTTGTTCTGTGGCAAACACGTATGTCAACAGGAACGCTGGAGGAGAACGCGGGAATGTGAAATGAGCTGTTGGCTGTTGTTTCAGCTGGTGAAAACGAAGACCTCCCGGATTCAGCAAGTCACGGACTACGTGAGGTGAGAGGCTGCTGCTATCGCAGATTTCACGCAATTTTATTTTCACTTACGTGTGCATTAGATCGTGCGTTACAACACATCCAGACGTTCACACTGCACAACTTTTCAAATGCGGGGGCTTGATCAGTGGCGACAAAGAAAAACTGGCTTTTAAATGTTTCGTCAAAAGTGCTGGATGAAGAATGTAACGGCCGTCTTTATAGAACTGCAGAAGACACATTTGAGGACGTCTCCTTTCAGCCCGACGTCTCTAAAGGTCACAAGACCTTTCCCAAGACCCCGAAGCAGTGGGTTGCCCCCCTCCAAGAGGGCAACTTTATGGACCAGCTCAGACGGCGTCTACCGAGGCCGTCGGGCCTAAAACCTCTTCTTTAAAAAGGTCCCGGTGCGGTGGGGAGATGATGAAGTCTCATGGGAGGGAAAGTGGAACAATGAATCCAGTTTTTTATTTTATTCTAAATTGGCCAAAACAGCTTCAGTTTTATGAGTAGCGACTCGAAGAAAGGAATCTGTGTTTTATGAAAGACTTCTACAGCCCGACGCATTAGACGTCAGTGGATGGCTTTGCTGTCCGTCATCCGCCTCGCCCCGCACCGTGACAACATCGATGGGGGATTTCAACATTGACCACGGCGTCCCCAAGGACAGCGGCACCAACCCACTGATGACCGACTCTCACACACACACACACACACACACACACACACACGCACACACACACACACTATTGAGGACTCGATCTTCTCCATTCTATGCTAACGTTTTCTGTGACAGAAAACGTTAGATCCTCCTGTGTGATTGCCAACAGCAGCAACAACAACAACAATAATGCGCGTGCCTTAGTTGATGTTGACAACCCTTCCTGTATCAGGAGCTCCATGACCTCTAAATTATGCAGTGAACGCCTCCTTCTTCACTGACAGAACAATCAAATGAGACAAGCTGTCACTATCTCCCCATCAGGTGCAGTGCACGTGTTGACCCCGCCTGCCCTGAAAACAAGCGCAATTAACGCGAAAGCAATTCCATCCCATCGGCCGTCTACACTTTTGACATTGTGCAACATCTGACACATTCCACCTTTTCAATAAAGTTAGGGGACCAGTTCAGATCTGCACAGAACTCTAAACTAAATAAAACTATTTTAAGCGCATATCAAACCTTTTTTTTTGCAGACTTTTCTAGACACGGATGTAAAGTGTGCAAATCTGTGTACGGTACAATGTGGGGACCTCTTCATCATTCGAAGGTTTTTCAAACGCTTCACACAGAAAGAAATGCCCACAAGCAACGCTTTCTTGTGCATTTCAGTATTCATACACTTTGGTCTCCGTGTCAACAAATTCACGTTCTCCTTGTCCGGGACTGTGCTTGAGTGTTCATCTTATCTGACACGTTAAGGTCCCTCCACCCTTACGCAAACCCAGAAGTCCTCAGCTTCCTGGTGGAGGACGGCAGTCCGCCGTACATGAAGTGGATGGATGAAGCCATTCCAGACGACTGACGACCAGCTGAGGGCGAAGCCGGTCTCTGCGTGGGCGTCGGCCTGAGCGAGGAGGCGGAGCCATGCGTGCAGGCCCGCTGCGGGCGGGCTCAGGAGGCGCTCTGAAGTTCTCCGTTTGATTTCAGTGCGTGAAGGAGCTTTTGAACCACAGACAGACATTGCTTGATGGACTGGCAGGTGACGCTGTGCATTTTATAACAGGATGCCTCTAACAAAGTCTCTTTTTCGACTCATCACTTTTAAGGCAAAGTATATTTATCTTTAGCTGACCTGCATGATACTACTTCTGCTTCATGCCAGATCTTTCTTAGTAAACCTTGACTGATGAAACTGACACATGCACAATTTATTTAAATAGAAGACGACGGTAAGGAGCCATTATGAGCCATGACGTTACAATCCAAGGTGATCATATTTAAGAGTTAATGGCTTTTGTCAGTGTTTAAATAGAACCTTCACAAACCTTTACAATGGAATAAAAAATAATTTGGTCCAGTACAAACATTCAAATGAATAAATATAGCACAAAGATAAAAGTAATCAAAAACTTCAGCTGTGACTCATCGCTGTCATGCATTTCCTGCTTGCACCTTATTGCTAGATTTACATTGCTTTTATAGATAACCCTCTATCCTCTATTTAATCCTGTAATAGCAGCAATCTTTGCGTTCGTGCATTTGATTAAACAAGCCCTCTCGCTCTGCTTTACATTCATGTATTCATTTAAGATGGCATCACTTATGTAGGCAGGTCTAACATGAAAATAGTTTCTGCTTATTGATGGCGTGACTATACAACACGGATGAATATCGGAATAGAGTAATTGGTACAACAGTCATGTTACAACTGAGGATTAATAAAGAAAATGGATGCGACGGACTGCCCTTTGCATCCTGAAGAGGTGATGCTGATCTGGTCTTCCCTTGAATAAAACATCCTTGCTCTCCACACGACTAGTCTTGCCAAATAAATGTTAAAGAACAAACCTATTTGTTTATCAGCTTTTGGCTACATGTGCACGTCTTGAGGGCCTCACAGGTCTTATTATCTGGATTTTGTCTTTTACAAATAAACGTTAGATTTACGGTACAGGTATTTCAAAAATACCGTAATATTCTGAACTACATGAAATTTGCCACCGTGCCTTATTGATGGTTATAGGTCAGTCAAGCATGCTTACTGCATTTAACAAAAAATTTGCTCTCGGCCTGCAGAAAGCGTTTCCGGCACGAGGCCCCAACAAAGGAAATGCAGACTCCGTTGAGTCGGGTGTTGTGTCCGTGGAGCCAATATAATCCTCCCCATCAGCACCGGAGATCAGGCCATTTGTTACTTCAGTGCGTGATGTAACCATTCACAGCATTGTGTGTGTGTTCTATCTGGCATGTTCAGGCATGCCATGCCTGAACATGCCATACATACGCACAGACACATTTGTAACTACTGAGGGCCGACTGTGTGACACAAATATTGCAAAACGTGATGCAATTTGATTAAACGTCCACTAGATGGGGGTGTTTCATTACACATGAAAACATGACGAGTCAGCAGCCATTTAGATGATTATGAGTACGCTTCTGTTCACACTTCTACCTAGAGAGCAGCCTTTTTCCTCCACTAAATAGGAAATGAGGTTCGACCTTATGCGCTGGGCTTATAAAGATATATACCACTTGGCATTGTGTCTCTTCCCCACATATTGGTATCATAATTAAGGGCAATGTCCAATGGGCACTGGTTGCTGTGCCTGTGTTATCAACTGCTCCATGGGATGCAGGATAATTAAGAATAAGCTGTAAAAAGCAGATGCCGATAACAAGCTCCCACTGAGAAATGCAATAAACTGAGGATAGCACACATCTGCAGCTATCTGTTCTGTTGAGGCAAGGCCGCAATGCTAGTTTTTATGAACTTCACACACACAAAAAGGTTCTTGTATGGTTCTTGAGAAGGCAGTGTGGTTCTACAAAGAACCATCACCTTCTTAAGAACCATTTTATCTATTGGATGAGTCTGAAGTTTTGGTTATTTGTGATATTAAATGGGGGATGGGGAAAAAACACCTTTGTGCTATGTATATATAATCATATATATATATACATATATATATATATATATATATATATATATATATGATTACCTCTTTTGCCCATTTAAAAAGCTAATAATAATATATTAGAAACAGGTCTTTGCTCTGACTACTTGGGTTTCTCTTCCATAATAAAAGCTGTTTTCCAGAAAAGTCTGAGGGGAAAGTCCTAAATGACAACATGAACCACCAATCACGACCGTGAGAAATGTATCCGCCCCGCCTACTTCTACGTGAGACTTGTCCATCTCGACTGACCAACGTCTTTTCAAACCAGAAACCCCGAACTAACAGCGGTCTGTTTAAGGTAAGCGATGGAAGCTATTGGTTTTTAAAGGTTTGCTCTTTTTTGTCATGTCACAGTCACCATATCCGAGTGTCTGAATACGCAACGTCAGTATACATACTAACACTACATTATTGGTGCCTGTAGCTTTGCTGGAAGCGCCATATTTCCCTCGTTTTGTGGATGCTACATATAACATTAAGGTATAAGCTCGAGGTAATGTTAGAATTTTAGTTTTAACAATCCTCAGGTTTTTGAAAATGTTAATTTCGGATGTTATTTCGTTTTCTAACGGTAACTTGAGTTAGCTAACTAGTTAACTAAATGTTAATTTCCTTTGTTACCCTGCTATTAGTAGTTAGCTGAAGCTAACGCTAGTTAGCTAACGTTAAATTGTTAGCCTAATAGACTTTGTGCTAAAATATATTTAATGTTGTCTAAACATTAACTAAGCTTTTGCATCTGGGATTTATTTAAGATATCAATAACGAATTAACTAACACTGGGTTATGCTACTGCATGTCCAGATGTAAATGTTAATTAACATTAAGTTATCAACCATTCTTTTTATTAAAACCGTTTTACCAATTTAAAAGAGGATGCCCCTGCTGAATGCGCCATTAACTGAATACAATGTTATGTTAGCGTTAGCTAACTGTTTGAAAACACCACTGTTTACTGCTTGCTAGTCAACGAACTTAAAGTTAGTTGCTGAGAGCTGATGTTAAAAAATGCCCTTCAGTTATCGAACTGATCGGGCTCAATGTCTGACTGACAGCGGCTGTAAGACAGTAAATTAACGTGTTTTTGTAGCTTGCAAGTTAAAGATCAGTAAGTTTTAGAAACTGTTGTAGACCTGATCAGAGCTTAGTGAGCAGTATGAACCGAAGGTAGCTTAATCTATGAGCCACATTTAACGACTATAAATTATGTGCACCTTAAAGTTATGCCAAGTCCCATATTGTTGTGTATTTACACATTATTTAATGTAGTGACAAGCTTTTTGACCAACTGTGGAGGATGAAAGTGGACACTGTTTGAATACGACTGTTTCTCAAGGGACGGTACAGTAACTTATTCGGCAGAGACGAGAGATTGAAGTTAAAACAGGTTTATTAATTTAACTTTTCATTTTCTCAAGCATAATGGATTTTTAAAAAATCCAAATTGTCAGAAATTAGTAATATAATAAATATAATGGATAGATTTCATAAAATAGACCTGTTCCCTTTACTGTGCGTATAGCAATTAAGCTGTTGTGTGTAGTCACCTCCAAAACAGGCCAGGAAATACTTATTTATTATGAGTGATGAATGATGGATGCTGCTCATCCAGACTTGAGCATAAGCTGCAGGACTCTCACGCATTGAGCGTGACAGTCACTCATTTCACTAGTCACGCACTCCCGCCACACATCCAATTCCTTACGCCCGAAAAAACCTGCGTTGGTTACCGTAGCGTCCTAATATTTTTTACATTTATTTTCAATGACATTTTTAAAATAATATATTTATAATATACATATATATATAATATATTCGACCAACATTGACTTATTTTCAAAATATTTTTTTGACTTCTTTTCCTATGACATTTTTCAAAAAATATTCTAATAATATTTACAAAGCTTTTTCATTTTTCTTGTTGAACGGTATATTTAGGATATTATCTCAGTATTTATATCCCACTGTGCCTTCTTTCTCATGCAGACATTCAATGATCCAAAACCTTGTAAACAGGCACAATACAACCTGTTGTTCAGCTCCTGCTGGTAACAAGGAGCTAATCATGTTGAAAAGATTGAAGCAAGGAGGAATGTTTTAGCAGTTTGCTGATGGGCTGGGAGGAGCAAGAAAACAGCTCTTCACCGCAGAGGTGAAGCGTAATTATACAGCATCCCAGATGCACTTCCAAGGGCAGCGAGTGTAGTTTCTTTAATCTGAACGCATATCTCTTCCTTCATTTCTTTATGTCACACGTCCTTAGTTTGTGAGAATGAATAGGTACCCTCCGTGAAATCTATACTGACAGATGTGTAAGGATGCACAATTACACTGTTTTGGAAAAATATGTGTACCAGGGGATGATAACAGGAACAGACCCTGTGTTCGCAAGTGAAACTAATGCAGAAATTCTTTACACTTGCATTTATTCCAAGAGCCTAAATGAAGTCTGATTGCATTGAGATCAATGGGAAACATTTATTGAATGTTAAATATTTTACAAATGGGTTTATGGTTTCAATTTCTGGTTTCAAGTCTTCTTCCATAATGTCCATTTAGTAAATTCTGTATATGCTACCGGTCTTTTTCAGTGGTGTTGTACAGTAGTACTCAGGTCCATCCTCCCTATATGACTTCTATACAATCTATGGAGACCATCTGATGGCTATTGGGGTTTTAATCCCTTGGAGAGAAAAAAACCTCATCCATCTTACAGCCAGTCAAGGACAACATCACTGAGAAGACTAGTGTTTGAATTTCTGGCCTGACATGTTGACACGTTGCCACTGGCTGCAAATCCACTAGAGATAAGATCCCTAACACAGCCGAAGCGATGTTGTGCTACATGTAAGCTTTGAATTGGCTTGGCCAGTGCGAGGTTACGTGCAAGGCGGCGACGAGCAAACGGCTCAGTGACTGATTTACACTGCGTGTTGATTGCTTCCTCCCTCTCCTCAGCACCTCCTCTTCTTCAAACTCCACGGATCCCTCCCACTTCGATGCTCCTCCCATCCCCCTGCCCCTGTGCACCTCATAAATCACCATCTGCAGTACATGTGTTTTGTGAGAGACGTACCCGCTCGCAGCAGACGAGGAGGAGAAGGAGAGCCGTTGAGGATGAGATTGGAGACACTTGGCGAGGTAATGAAGAAGCCAATTTCTTCTCGCCGTACCTTGCTCCTGGCTGTGTAGCTCGCTCGCCCGCTCGCTCACTCACTCACTCCCCGAGCTGCTACACAGACTCCGTCATCAAAACACACAGTGAGGCGTGCACGCACGCACACCACGCACTCACACTCAGTCTCACACTGGAGGAAACATTCATGATGCAGCAGCAAGAGAGAATGTCGTCTGATTCCCTGTCAGGTAAATGAAAAACTAGAATGTGTGTGTGTGTCGTTCCTGCATCATTATCCATCTTGTTTACCCTCCTTTCACTCTTGCATTAAGTGACATATTGTTATTCTGCCTCTCTGTTGTTTTACCGGCTTCTCTCTCCTCATTCTGCCTCTCTGTATCCGCCTGTGTTTGTTCCTGTTTGGTTTTGCTCCTTCCCTTCTCCCGTTAAAGTATCTGTGTTTGTGAGCGTTGATGACCGTGATGATTGTTATTGTAGCAAAACAGAAGGTGTACCTTTTTCCATATGGCAGCGCTGGAGGGAGTACATTAGGGTGGAACAGCTCCTGCTACTACGGCTGCCTCACACCCACAGCACAGCTGTGTGGGTGTGTGTGTGCTGGGGAATGTTGCGTTCTTCTGACCCAGATACGATAGCAAAGCTTCTGCCACTTTAGGTGGAACTCCCCTGTTTTCCTTCAAATTACACCGTGGTTACGTTCCAGTTGTTTTGTCATAATGTTGAGTGTTCTTTTGAGAGTCCTCCTACAGGGAGTCCACAAGGTGCATGCTGGGATATTCGGTTCATGTAAGACATTCCAAAAGTGAGAGATGAAAGCGAGTGGCTGGCTGTGTTGATCAGTGGAGGAGACCGTTTGGCCCGTCGGAGGCTCTAGATGTCCTTGGTGATGAGGACGATCCTGCTGGGGAACCAGTGTGTGCTCATTTTTTTCATTGCTTATGTAACTCATTTAATTGGAGCCTGTAAAGTTGTCCGGGGTGGGGGGGGGGGTCATTGCTGTTGCTCAGGTGTGTTTGCCTGTGAGGATTATAGCATTTCAGGATTATAACAGGAAGTTGTTTTTTATTTGCCATCGCAGCATCAAAACTCATTAGGACTTCTCCACGTGAGCAGAATAATTACAGAAACCCGAGAGATGCAAATAATGAGTCTTTGTATGGTAAATGGAGAGAAATGTGATTCTGACTCCATTTCAACTGGAATCCTGTTCCGGGCTTCTCGTTAACAAGCTTCTTTTTTTCAGCCAATTCAAAAAGTAGAACACCTACCTGACGTTCTGCTGGGCTGATTTATTCATTTATGGATATATGTTGGGGAGGGTCAGCAGAATAATATATCCCAACATGCTTTGTGCGGTAGACAAGAGAATCAGATCATTATAGCATAAATAGAAAGGTGCACAATATTCATTGTTTTTTGGGATTGTTAGAGAAAATGCTGACGCATACAAATCCACACAACCGCAACATTTGCAAAAAGCCACAGTATTACCAATAAGGAGTGGGGGGGGTATATGTATATACTGCTTGAAACTTGAAAACCATTGACTTGATCCTGTAATCTGGAGGAGTTCTTCACTCGTTCTTCTTTTCTTTTCAACCCTCTTTTTTAATTGACTTGTCTGAACATACAATGATTTTTCCCTTTTTATTTTGGTGGAAATTCTTGCAGGTTAGGTTATGGTTAGTAAAACAATTGTAGTTTAGGTTAGAGTAAGTATCCTATGCTGTTATTTAAATAACCATGTTTAATGGTTAAAAAATAAAGGTGGTGTTTTTAAAGCAAATGTTAAATAACAAAGTTAGGTAAAATAAGACAATCGCCTTTCTGGGGCTTTTGTAGTTAAGAGCAGATAAATACGGTCTGGAATTGTTTTCCTTGTTGGGATGCAAGAGGCACACGGCATCCTTTACTTTTCGAATCCAAGAAAACATTCAAATGGATGTTACTGATAAAAAATCAGACATTTCTTCAGCTCTCACCTCGGTTCAGGTTGAGTCACATCAACTCTGCTGCACTTAAGTGTTAACATAAAGGCATAATCGTAGCCTTGAGTGTGTTGTATTGCCCTACAGTGACAATAGCGGGCGGCAAGCAGGATTACATCAAGTGTGCGAGTGCGATAGAGAAATGTGAAGAAGCACTGGGAGGTAAAGCGACCAATAAAATTAATCTTTCAGCGTATCTGACACCATGCACTCTCTGGCACTTTTAGTTATGTATTCATTCTGCACGCCACTCCAGTCACACACATGATGGCAATGCATTTTTCTTATTGCCTTGGCACAGCTTGTACAACCGTTTGGATATGTCAAATTGTTAATCAAAAGGCCAAAATGGACTGAAAAGAACTGGCAACAAAACATTTTCCAAATGTGCCGCATTCCTAAAAGAGGCAGCAAATAAAAGACGGCTTTGGCAATAAGTATACGCTGAAGCACTCAAAACATCTGTTTTTCACCAGAAACTATAACAAACACCACTACAAATCCATTTGTGAAAGACCTATAATATTGATTCTCATAAATCATGCTTTCATTACGACAGCAGTAAATGGATTTGAGTCTACAGTATTTGTCCTTTTCAGTGTGGTGCTCTTCTAAAAAGAAAATCCAATGTGCTTGAGATTCAAGTTTAAAGACTGAGGTTGCTCAAACGTGCTTAGTCTTCCTCATGCTGTATTGTAGATTTTTATACTGGATTGGGTTTGCTTTTGATGTATCACAAATAGGTTGGAATTGGGAAGCCTTTTTTCAGTTCTAAAAACACAGGACAGCATGTGCTCTGTGGACAAAGTATTTATGTCTCAAAAACAAAGTTATTTTGTTGCAGTTTGGTTTTGTTAAGTCCTTTTTAAAGTTTCTTTTCTGTTTTTTTACATTTCTTTTTCAAGTGCATTCAATCTGGCTTTTTCATCCCAGAAACACAAGCACACAATGTTACTCACGGTCTTTTTTTCACATTTTGTTCACAGTCTAGCTGTTAGCAAGAGGAGTTAACAAACTATTTGTCCGTGTGTGTGTGTGTGTGTGTGTGTGTGTGTGTGTGTGTGTGTGTGTGTGTGTGTGTGTGTGTGTGTGTGTGTGTGTGTGTGTGTGTGTGTGTGTGTGTGTGTGTGTGTGAGACGATGCACACGCTCATTATAACGGCCCATCAGACCCGACTGGAAACGGGTCGGTGAGCACCGACTTAGGCCAAAACCAGTCACCAGTGTTCACAGCATTCCTGTTTAGTTTAAATCATAAACATTTGGGATCAGTGACGCCCTTGAGTCCGCGTGAGGTCATATGACATCCTGCAGAGCTTTCTCATCTCAGCACGTTAAAACAACATTTCCAACCTCGTGCGCTGTCGCATCCTCTCCCGTCTCCGCGTCACCCTGCACCCTTCAGTTATCGGCGGCGGTTCCAGGCGAGCTTTTGGCAGTTTTCTTTTACCTTGCGTGGTATTTCTGTAGCGCTCTGAGAGGAAGTTCAATCACCCTGCGTGTGGGCTTACCTCGTGGCTGCTTTGAATGAGCAGGAAACAAGATGGAGCTTTTCATCAGCAGCGCCACGCAATCCTGGGGCCCTAAATCTCTCAAAGCTGCTTCACAGCGCGCTGGTGTACCCGGCAGCATGTAGACAGGCTGGATTTATTAGTCACTATTTCAAAGGATTTATCTCCTCGCGAGTGCTTCTTGAATGGGTAATGTTTGTGCATCTCAGGGACATTAAACCAAAGATTCCAGTCGTGTCCAAATTCGTATTATTATTTGTAACAAAGGACACTCACTGGCACGAGAAGAGCAGCGGAATTTGAATTTCGGGGAAAACTGCTGCGTACTGCTGCATGTAATATGTGGATGGACCAAGGACGTTTTGGACTGTAACATCATATTAATCCTTCATCGTGCCATCAGTTGATCTGTTGGGAGTTAAACAGGTCAGATATTGTCTACTTAAAAGCCAATGTATATTGTATCAGATGGGTATTATGGTAAGACAAGTTTAGAATATAATTACATTTTACATTTTACAAACTGCTGCAAAAGTCTGATGTGGGTGAGGTGGGAAGGCTGTAATCCGTCGTAGATGGGAGTTGTAGATGCGAAGACATGCGAAGAGATGCAATGTGGTGGAAAGTCTCTTTCATAGCACTTGTGGGCCAGCCATGAACAAAACCAAAAATAACCTGAGGGTTATTCAATTTATAACCTCACTTACATCCGTTTTCCTTCAGATCAGCCTCCAAACGCAGTCGTCTTCGCCATCCTCTCCCCCATTCTTTTCCCGTCCCTCACTCACTACATTTTCTTCTGCTGCTTGAACAAGACAGCAGAAATTATTGACTAAACGTCTCTCCGAAAAACTAAAAAATATTGATCTAATACCATTAAGGCCTTTTTATGTTAGCACTTTCAATACCTGAGAGAAGGACTCCGTAGCAACTGGTGGAAGGTGATATTTATTGTCATTTTGCTTTGGCCCCTAATGGGGGATGAAATGCTAATATTGTGCAGCTATCGATCTCTCCCGGCCACTGGAATGTGAAGCACAGGAGCAGCACAGGGCGGCCATGAGGAACGCACATGCAGCAAGAGGAGTTAACAAGCTTATCATGCGGGTGAGATCGGAACATCTAGCTGCTTTTGGAGCACTGCTTGTCTTTTACGCACACAGTGAAAGGCACTGATCCGTGACGCCGGGCGACTCAACGCAGGTCCAATGAGTACATGAGGCGTGGTGTCTCTCCGCTGCTATTCATTTGAGCCTCATTAAAATGTGCTTGATCATATAACCGCCCTCTTTTTAACAATACAAAGAGAGAAGATTAAATGAAGACTATTTACCACCACCTAAATTACAATTAATCAAAAACTAGGATCTGCTTTCTTCAACACGTACAAGAAACCTAGTAGGGATTATTCACATTGCGATTTAATTTAAATCACTCGTCTTTTAGCTGGACACAGTTGCATAGCAGCCGTAACACAATAAAGACTCCTTCTTTAACTCTGGGGTTCACATAGTGGCCGCAGGCTAGCCAGTTAACTTGATTAATCATTGACAAGTTTAGCACCAGTCCTGTGGTTTATTAAGGAAACCATTTTACGGTTAATATCCCCAATGAGGGCTTTGTGGACCTCCTACCTACCTGAACCAATGTGGCAAATAGTTAACAGCCAAAAGAACAGTTAAACACGTCCCAGAATTTGACATGCCTGCATGTGTACGGATGAAATCAATCTAACCTGTGAGTTTGGCTTCTGACCTTTTAACTGCCATGTTAAAATATGGACAAAAAAGGTGCTTTACAATTACAATGCAAATTGTATGTTTACACAAACATACAAACTGCAGATGCCCTTGCAAAGGACGCACTGTTGCACCATTGAACATTGTGTGTGCATTCTACGTAATTTATATCATAGCTGATAAAATTGCACCTCAGTCTTCACCCACTGTTGAGAGGACTGTAGGTATAGTCTATGTCACAGACAGATACTATAGCAACTAAATGTAAATAAACTGATGTAAACGTATAGTCTATGTTGTAAACATATTGTATATGATGTAAACATATTGTATATGTTGTAAACATATCGTATATGATGTAAACATCGTCTATTATGTAAACATGTATTCTATAATGTAACCTCAAACGTTTACGTACTGGCCGATGAGTCAAACCAGTTTAGTATATTAAATAATGATCTCACCGTGGGTACAGAAAGGTACAAAAGTGCTTGCAAGTTTATTAAACGCTGGTCTGCTTAACTCCCTGCAAGTGACACATATCAAACACCCACGATTTTCTTCTTTTCCTGACCCCAACACGTGTATCCGTCATCTAGCTAACATGCTAAATGCTAAAAGAGCGGATTGTCCCGCGGAGAGTCCTCCACTGTTACTTCACAGAGGTTCGTGGCTGTTAATCCACGTCACGTTTGTACCTTTTTGTAAACCGTCACTCGGGGGAAAACAAAATACATGCTGTGACACGGAAACGTCCGCGTCGCCATGGCAACGTGCTGTTGCGCAATAACCCGTGAAGCTGTGTTTTTGTGTGGCAGCCACACTGGCTTTATTTATCCTCGGCCTGTTTTGTCAGAGTCATCTTCTCTGGCGAATTCCTCGTCGAGGAAGACTAACGCGTAATTGACGTTTCACTTCTATGCTGCTGTATACCTGTGGAAAGAGAATAGTAGGTTTCATTCACCTAACCCACTACCCGCAGCCTGTATGCACTTGTCATAAGGCTGGATGATTAAAGAGCAGGGTCATGAAAATATAAAAATTAGCAAGTGGCCCTTTGGTTTCTGTCTCATCCAACGTCCACGAGTCCTGATGAAGACGGACTACATGGCTTAAAGTGAGTTGTTTCTGGCATTGGTCTTCCCTGTGAGCTTTGTAGTTTTTCTTTTGTTTTTGTCTTTACTTTCTATTGTTGTAGATGGCGCACAGCTTTGTTGGTTGAGAGATCGACGTTCGAGAGAGTACGAGACTCGGGGCTCATCTGTGAAGCAGACGAACCTCGCCGGTGTTTGTTCTTCTGTCGGAAATGAAGTCACACATTCTGAGAAAAACCTGTGCCACTCAAAAGACTTCATTTCTGCATCCCTCGCCCTCCCTGTCTCTCCTCCCCCGCGCTCTCATAATTCCAAGGTCGAATCGCATAATTAAATCAACGCCAGGATGAAAAACCTGTCTTTGAAGGAGCTCTTCTAAATTCTAAATTTAAAGGAGCTCTGTGTGCTCGACCCGCCCCTGTCCACTGTAAGCCGATCGCACGGAGGCAGCATGCAGCCATATCTGTGTGTGTGTGTGTGTGTGTGTGTGTGTGTGTGTGTGTGTGTCTGTGTGTGTGTGTGTGTGAGAGAGAGACTAATTCTAACGGCACAGTGATGAGGCGACCTGTGATATGAAGCTACTTCACTAAGGCGACATGATCTCAACTGACACGGTGGTGACAAGCTCAATGTGTGCGTCAGTGTCCCGTGTCACCACAGCTCCAATCCTACAATATTGTAAATCACACTAGCAAAACCAAAAATACACAGCAATCGTTGTCGTCGCAATGAATGAAAGATGTACGTCTCATTATATGGAACCTGTGTGTGATGGATGGCTTTTCCCCTGTGAAGAAAAAAAAGAGTCAGCGTATTGCTTTGTTTTTAGCCTCATCACTGGAGATGTGAGGGAATGCACGTCATGCATGCCCTGGTTGAGTTAAATTTATCCTTTCTTTACCTGACATGTGCAGAATGGCTGAGGCAAAGAAGAAGAAGCATGAGGTAGTCATTATGATGGCATCTCTGGTTTGGAAAAGAGAGTGTTTCTTGTTCGCTGTTAAAATGGAAAAGCCGTATTCTCGTAGATGAAGGGGCCGTGTCACTTTGCTTGGGAAGGGTTTCACAACTGAAAGCGGTAAACAAACATTACCTTCTATTCCTGGCCAAATCACAGCTGATGTGTTCCTCTTTGTTTTCGTTCCAGATGTGCGGTGTCCATCGAGACAGTGGATGTCCCGGGGCCACTCCTGCGAAGAGCAGACCGCGAGGAACCCGGAGTTGCGGGTGGCGGGCGACTGTCAGATGCTGCTGCTGAGTGAGGAGGAGGTGGTGAGATCGGGCAGCGCTGCCTCCCGTCCGTCGTGTGCCTCCGTGTCGCTATTGTGCTTCCCGTCTGTTTGTGTTCTTCGTCGCATTTGTCCCCGTCAACTTCCTTCTTCTTTTCTTTTTCCCGCTGCAGCTTCTCCGCCTCATTCCGTCCCACCTTTTCCTCCAACATAGCATAACATTCTCCCAAGTTCATTTTTGTGATTCAGGGCTGTTTCTCTTCACATTTCTACATTGTTTATTGTTACTGATGTTGACAGTAAACATGTTTTTCTTTATGATGTTGTTGGACAATTTCAGTAACTTTTGTCCCTATTCGTTTTGTATACACATTTACCATTTTTAAATTGGTCTTATACAGGAATAAACACAGGTACTGGACTTTCCAAGCCTACGTAGCAACACCGCTGCTGAAACTGGGGAGAAAAGCGCGGCTTCAGTTTGTCTTTGTCTGCTGAAGTAGAGCAATAATTGCGGGGATGGATTCATTCCAATTGACCCATTGGCGGCCTTCCCACTACAGCGCTTTTTGTTTCAGGGAACGGCAGCTTGATCGCGGTGATGTCGGCAAACTGCAGGTTTTATAAAGGCTTCATGATGCGTTTTGGAGAGCAGGGTTGTTTTTAGGACGATTGGTCAGAGCATCATACGGTGGAGGCCAAACACGCGCAGGCACTGTTGGGGGACATGTTTGTCACGACAGTATTTCAACAGCTCCTCATCAGAATAATTTGATTTTTTTGTGTGAGACCTCAAGCTTAGTTCAATTGATTCAGAGGAAGCAGGAATTCCTTCTGCTAGTGTCCTCATATGGATGCGATGTTTTCCAGTATACAATAGTTTATAATATATAATGCAAATGATCTAAGAAAACACTCTCACCATTAAGATTTAACTGAAGAGTCAGCAGCATCTGACATATGACCGTTAACGGGAATATGTTGCATGTTTAAATCTTCCTAGATTCCTTTTTTTACAGCTGCCCCTCTGGACAGAGCAGCTTATTATAAAACTTCTTTTAATCTTTGCTGTGATGGAGTTTTTGCGGAAAGGGATTTTCGTTTTTTCATTATTTCTTGGTTTCCATCTTTGCTTTATTACATTTCTTTTCCCCCTGTTTTTCCATCTTGATTTATTGTTGGATTGTTTTACTTCTATTTCCTCCTGCTTACATTCACGGTTCGCTTTCGCTCCCGACACATTATGAAAACCACTGAAGCGCAGTGTCACTGAACAGCTGATGCTTGTATTGTCATCTGTCAGAGAATGTTTGCTCAATAAATGAGTTTGGCCTTGTTTGCCGAAGGCGACTCGGCCCTCAGCTATTTGTACAGCCAAGGTGGCGTCTCCCAAAGTGTGAGACTGGAATAATTCCAAAGGCGTTTCTATAGTTTGGACCTTTCCTCAGACCCATGAAGGATGCCGCGTGTGGAATACGTGATCGAGTCCGGTCTCATTACTCCCGCACTACGTTTCTACCGCTGCCAGAAGTGGGGCTCTGTGTGTTTCAACCCTCATCCCAGACCGGAGTTGAATGTCGGGACTCAAATGACAGCTCGTCCCTGCTTTGTCATTATCGCTCAGCCCAGCAGACCTTACAGTGAGAGCTGTCCTTCAGCCCGGGTCCCATGAGGCAAACAGAGAGGTGACGAGCAGCGAGGATCCGAGGGAGCGAGCGAGTGACAGAGGAATAGAGAGAGCAGGAGCTAGGAGGTGTGAGGGTGTTCGATAAGCCATTATTGCTCCCTTTGGAGGACAGAAGGCCCTTCTTCCTTTCTCGCTTTGTCTGTTTTAATCTTCTGGGGGCAAACATGTGGCGAGCGAGCTCCAGGAAGATACCAGCTGACTGATGCCGCTAATGCCCGCTTTGTTTTTGGTTTTCTCATAGATGTCTCCTCATCTAGCAGCCTCCTCTAGCCTTGTTTCTTTCTTTCATTCCCTTTCTGCACCCCTTATCTCCTCCGTATCCGTATCCTTTTATACTCCGCCTTTTGTCCGCCTTGAATTCCGAGCCCTGTTGCCTCGGATCCTCTCCCTCCGACCCCCCCCCCCCCCCCCCCCCCCTTTTCTTTTGCAGAACCGGTCCTTGTTTTTGCAGGAAGAGGCGCTCTGCGTCATGCAGAGGCCACCTCCTGCGACGCACCATCAGCGTTCCGGTGGAAACGCAATTCCCAGAGTTCCACAGCCAGCTGTCCACCGAGAGCGGTGAGTAGCCCGAGGGGGGGTACCTCTGCAGTGATCACACGCACACACACACTTCTGTCCTGAAACCGTTTAACAAAATTACAATGATGAACGCCCACTCGTTCAACATGATTATTGACATTTTTTTTTAAAGGCCACTCAATATAAAGTCATATTGAAGCACTTATGTGCAGATTTCTTGCTTCACACAAAGGTCAAATGTAACTCGAGTACGGCTCTTCTTTCTGCTCCTCGGTGACACAACCGGCCAAACACTCACCCTTGCATCACTCTCGTGCGGGTAAACCCTTTAATATTTCGGAGCCTCTGTTTAATCTGCCGCACGACCACTAGATGGAGAGCTTGCTGCTCTTAGCGAGCCTCATCGGCGCCACTAAGACCACTGAGAATGTTTGCTTCTCTTTTCTAACAGCAGATGGCACCTTGGACTTTCCTTGGGGCTCTTATGAGCAAGTAGTGCTTGTGGTATAATATGTGCAAATTGTAAGTAGCATATAATGGAAATACTCAACTTAAGTACATGTGCTTTCAAATTGAACTTTGAACGCAGCAGAGAGACTGAGGTTTGACATTTAATAATTGGTTCCCACGGTTACTGTTGCCGGGTGGTCAGCTGGCATGTAAGCTAATACAACACAACTTTAAATCAGTGTGAAAAGTGTCTATTTGGTTCAGGGGCTTTTTCGTGATGCCATTACATTTGTTTAACAGCAAAGAACAGAACATTAAATTAAGTCTTATTAAGTTAAATAATTGTTTAGTGTTCCTCCATCTCTGAGGCGGTGCTATCGGACAGCATGAAGATGACCTCATTTCTGGATAAGCGACGCTGTGTGAACATTGTTTATTCTATATTTTTGAATCAGAATCAGACTCTTACATTCTGCGTTTACCCGGAACCTTTGGAGTAAACTCTTCCACACGATCAAGCTAACTCTGCTCGCGCCCTTATAGTGAATAGTGAGGGTTAAGCGTGTGTTTTACCACACCGCTGGATGAATGACACGTGGATACTTTTGCACTAGTTTGCTAACAGACGCTTTGATTGACAGAGTAATTGAATTCAAGATTCTTTCCAAAAAAGGTATAATTTTGGAGGCAATTAAAAGTACTTTCACATGTGTCCAATGTTCATTACATTTCATTACATTTAGCAGACGCTTTTATCCAAAGCAACTTACATTGCATTTTTAATCCATGGCTATTTAAATTTTGCCCAGGGAGCAATTAGGGGTTAGGTGTGCTGCTCAGGGACACTTTGACATGGGACATGGAGCAGCTGGGACTCGAACCGCCAAACTTGCGGTTTCCAGCGCACCCTCTCTACCCCTGTGCCACGTCGCCACGTCGAGATGAATATTAACTCTTTAGTTGAATGATGACATGAAATGTTAAAACGCTTTGAGTGATCTGAAGACCAGAAAAGCGCTAAACAAGCACAGTCACCATGTTTGATGAGCAAAAGGACTCTAGTCTCTTCCCATATCAGCCGTCTAGCTCCCAAATGAGGCTGAGAGTATGCTGAGGGCGAGGTGGCGAGACAAGCAGGGACGTCCTTCTCCTTCCTCAAAGTTATGGCAGTTACCCAGCATTCCCTGCATAGCACATATTTGACTTTAAAACACAAGGACAACTTGTGCTAAATCACTCACACATGCATTGAGAGGAGGTGGAAGTGCAGAGTTTGGTAACAGGTGATGACATGTAGATGAGAGTAGGGCCGTCAGACGCACACATTACTGGAGCTGTGATTATGTCGTGTTTATCTGAGAAGAGACAGAGGCTAAACGAATAAACACCGTCTGCCAGCGAGTCGACTAATTACAGAGCACCTTTGCAGCTCTGCCGCTGCGTCGCTCCAACCTTTCCACCGTGATGATGCAAGATGATTTCAGAATCGCTGACTCAGATTTCCGTCTTCGAGCCACACCCTTCCGCACGTTAGCTGCCGTGCGTTACAATACATAAATATTCCACTGCAGTGGTCCTCATGCCAGACATTCAAACATCATTCCATTCCAACTATTCTCACCTTTTCAAGGTACTTGATATGATATGTCACGGACGAATATTCACAGGACAGGGACTCTGTGTGGCGCTCGTGTTAGCTTAGCGGGGTGTTGGGTGAGATACTGCTGGAGCTTCGTCGAAACACACTCTGCTCTCGCAAAATGATATTTCACAGGAACAAAGGCAAGTGTTTTAATATCATATTGACAGAAGGATGGAAATGTATCTTCCCTCTTCAGTGTCTAACCTTTAATGTGTGTGTGTGCGTGTTTGCTGTTATATGGTTTTCAAATCCCAACACTACAAACACTCACACTGTTTCAGTAAACTACTCTTTCCTCCTGCTCTTGTCCTTGTGTGACACCTGGGCTCCAAACAGGCAGCACGATGAATTTAAAAACCACGGCTGGATGAATAGGAATCCGCAGCGCGTTTATGCTCCTTCATCGGAACAGCTAAGCTTAATTTTATTGAGGTGAGCGTTTTATTTTTATTTATTTTAACGGGATGCCACTTTGGAAAAGTTCTCCACTCCCCCCGGATGGTTTTAAAGATTCTAGGGCATACGGTGCCCTATTTTCAGTTTTTTTTATTTCCTCCATGAATATTTTCACCTCAGCTGCAGTGCTTGAGATAGGATTAAATAGAAATGTGTATCTGACCAAAGGCTGTTGAATCATTTGCAAATGCCTTGTGGCCCAAACTCTGCGTCTTAACATTCCCTCTGATGTCTATTACAACAAAGTCCTGCCTGCCTGTCTCTCTCCTCAGATGTAACAATTAGCTATCATTAGCCAGAATGGTATTTATTCACTTTCAGTCCGTCCCGCGGGTATATCACTGTTATGTTAGATGTATGTTTGCATTACGTAACAATATTGGCTGTTTCATCCAACTGCTCCTATGCAGCTTTCTCACTTTGCACATGACAAGTATTGGAGTGTAAATAGTGATTCTATGAAAAATATATTGTGAAGCATGGAAACATTTTTTTATGTTTTGCAGAGGTGGAGAAATTAGTGTGTAAATAAAAGCAAAATGTGACAATGTGAGTGCAAGGAAACTGGTGTAGCGAATAGTTGGTGACTTGCACATACATCTCATCTTTCTCACATTAAAACATGAAACAAACAGAAATATCACGTGTCCATCAATCAATTAACACATCAACACTCATTTTAGCCAAAACAAAAATCCTCTAAAATATATTGGAATATAATAGAATAATAGTAATAGAATATTTCCTCGGTCTTGCATCTCAAATTGAAGAATTCCTGCATTTCTTTTAATTTGCACATTGAATGAATTTGTGAATATGTCATTAAATGTTTTTACTTTTTTTAATAAAATCAGGCCGCAGTACTAAATAAGTTAAATTCCTCCGGCTTGATTATTTTTTCATTCCGGGTTGTTTTTATTATGACAAAGAATGTGCCGAGGGTGTAAAATTGTGGAAAGATTCAGCGCTGCGACAACACTCTCCACCCAAATCTCCCCCTCTCCCCCCCCCCCCCCCCCCTCTCTCTCTCTCTCTCTCTCTCTCTCTCTCTCTCTCTCTCTCTCCTCCCGCCCATCCTGTGCTCAGCTACGCTCCCTCGCTCTCTCGCTCGGCTCTCCAGAGAGAGGCTCAGTCGGACAGATGTAACACAGCGGTAGAAGCCTTAGAGCTGAGGTGGCAGGCTGCGTGGGACGGCAGCGTGGGACGGCAGCGGCGGCGCCAGGAACCAAAACAGAGCGGTGGTTGCGGCAACAGTTTAGTCACAGAGCAACAGTTCAGTCACAGAGGCCGCTTTGCCTTTGGGGGACGTGGTCGTGCCGGTCCGGCCGCTCGTCACACTGTGAATTTATCATGGACCCCGACACCAGCACCCATCCAGACGCACAGCAGGGTGAGTGAGATCGGGATCAGGGGGGGCGACCGGAGCGCCTCCCCGTAGAGGGAGTCGAGGAGCCTGGTGGGTCTCGCGGCTCTGCTGCCGGCTCGCCGCTACGACTAAAGTCTCTCCATTTGGCTCTGGAGCTGTTGACTAGGGCCTCTGTGGTCAGATGAATAGGACTTCAGTCTGCTCCGTTGGGAAAAGGGGTCGAGGGGAGCCACTTTTTGCCCTAATGACCTTTTTCGCCACTACTCTTGTCAGCCTAACAAAGTTTTCTTTTTGCAGCTCAGAAAGTTAGTGATGCCTGTTCGGCCGCGCTGGTGCGAGCTCGGTGCAGCAGAGAGCCCTCTTGCTCTTCCAAGGGAATGATTAACCGCGGCACACATGTGAGGGCCGTGGGTGTACGATTCAAAAGCAGCGAGATAATTCGATGGTGATGCGAATCTGCATATTTGTTCGCCATGTAGCGGTTGCAGCATGTGGGTGTTTGTGTTGAGCGGCACAAAGGAATGAAAGTGGGAAGTGGAGAGACAGACAGAGCGAGAGAATTATGTACACGGATAAATCCAGGAGGGATCTACACCGCTCTGTAGGCCAGAGAGAGTGCTCACTCTTTCTCTTCCCCCTCATTTTCCGCTGCCTCGTTTTTTTTGGTTTTTTTTACTCTCCTCTGCTCCAAATGCTAAGACGCTAAAAGTCTGAAAGAGCGGCGCGTGAAGAACCGAGCCAAGAAAAGACGATGTTTTGTCTTCATGGCCGAAGGGAAGGACTCGGCTGCGCCACTGATGAAGAATGTGGTTAACAGAACTGAGTCAACAGAGAGCATATTTCCTAGAGGCCGAGAGGGTCTGAGCCGCAGCGCTTCGCACGCTGGGCCGCCTGCCACCGCCGCGGAAAGGGGAAGAAAAAAACAAACCTCCCCGTTTTTATCCACCTACCGAGACTTGGAACTTCTCGTAA